GAATAATAACTTTCTGTGCCTGAACAGCGGGAAAACTGAGGTCATGCTTGTAGGTTCCCGTCACCAAATTCGCAAAGCGGCTCCACTGTCTCTGTTGATGGCTCTGTTCTAGAGACCCAAGGTAAGATGAGGAGCCTTGGTGTAATTTTTGACACTAGCCTCACTTTTGATTTTTTTTGTTCAGAGCACTGTGAAGGCTTCCTTTTTTCATCTCAGAAATATAGCCAGATTAAGACCAATGCTAAACTTATCTGTCACTGAAAAACTGATCAATTCATTTGTTGTCACATGGTTGGATTACTGTAATGCTGTCGTAGCTGGAGTTTCTAAAACCACAATAAACAAATTGCAGTATGTTCAGAACTCTGCCGCCCGGATCCTGACGGGAAGCAGGAAATGTGACCATATTACTCCTGTTTTGAAGTCCTTACACTGGCTCCCGGTCAGGTTCCGTGTCGATCTTAAGATCATGATGTTGACATACAAGGCATTACATGGATTGGCTCCACACTACTTAACTGACTTATTAATCCCTTACACCCCAAATCGCAGACTGCGCCCCTCACAGGGTAATCTATTAACTGTTCCACTTACCCACCTAAAATCTATGGGTGACAGGGCTTTTTCTGTCTACGCTCCTTCACTTTGGAACTCTCTTCCCCCTGAACTCAGGGAAGCCCAGACTTTTGGCATTTTTAAAGCTCTTCTAAAGACACACTTTTTTAAACATTCAAATCCTGATGTCTTTTTAGATTGTTTATATCTAAATTATTTATATTTATATTTATTTTTATTATTAATGTTGCTGTATTTGTTTTAATTAACTTTTATTTGTTTTATTTTTCTGTGATTTGTGATTTTATGTACAGCGCTTTGAGAAGCTGCTTCAAAGATGCTTTATAAAGGAAAGTTGTTTATTATTATTATTATTAATGTTAAATTTTTTTATATGTGTGTATTTCTTGAGTTAACACTGATGTCTGGTGAAAAATGTATGTGTATAGCCTCATTGGAAATATATTTACTGAAAGAAAATGTTGGCGTGTTCAATACTTATTTCCTCCACTGTTTAAAAAATCCTTGTAGTTCAATATTACACTTTCCCGTGATGTCAGTGTCAGAACAGGGTTTATCAGCCTGGAGATGTGAGGCGAACGTACTAACCACTAAGCCGGTCATGAACATCACTCACATAAATTTCTGAATATAATCAGGGAGGACTATTAGGTACATCGATAATGGACTTTAACAAAATGATGACACACACAGTGTAATATGGCATTTGTGGAATTTATTAAGGAGGCACAATGTAAATTGTGTAAAAACATTAAGATAAAGAAAACCTCGACACTTCATCAGTCATCAATATACATTTCTAATGAAATTGAATATTTATTGCCTGGAGATTAATTTCAGGTTAAACAGTGGAATCTCATCAGTAATGCAGTAAACACTCGTCTTTATACTCAGCCCTCTTAAAGGTCCTCAGTATTTCTGGAAAATTGTTCAAATGTATAAAAGTTTTACATTTACAGATGTACTGACTACTAAATGTTTAGCTAATCTACATTAATTACAATGAGAAAGGTAGAACCTGAAGTGAGCGTATATACGGGGTTTTACGGTAACCATAAGACACTTGGGGGGAAATGATCATCTGTATTATTTAAGATGTAGACACTAGAAAGGTTTTCATGTAAATGAAACACCTCAACATCACGGCGTGGTCCGGGGGTCACTGTGTGGAGGAGGTGAACTTACTGGATATCTGAGTGAGGTAGCCAGTGAGACCAGTACACTTCCAGTTTCAAGTTTGGTGATGTTGGGGAAAGGGTTGTTATTGTCAGTGGAGGAGACAGAAGGCCTTATTGATAAATAAAACCACACTTTGCTAGGACTGGAGCAACATTACTGTAATGAGCTCACCCTTGTGCTGCGAGTGTTTCTACTGAGAATATAAATTAATTGATAAATTTTCAACGAGAGATTGCAACTTCTGGCCACATGCGCAACAGGCAACCAGATTTGGGCGTGTCCAACGATGCAACAAAGTTGAGAAAAGCTTCACTTTATGCAATTTGGAGCGACCTAGTACAGTGACTACCAATGGGAGTGAAGAAGAGTGAGCACACGTCATCCTTGGCCACTCCTACTCACTATTAACTTTTCGTTTTAAAATGCATAACTTTTGTTACAGTTACGCCTGTCGTCTACACTACTCCGGCATTTTCGACCCAAAAAAATGGAGGCCTTTGGAAACGAATGCATGGCTGACCAAATTCACCCCCTGATTGGGTCTTCTGGATCATTGTGTATGCTTCCCTGATTCGTCAAGCCTCTACCATATGACCATTATGTTACCGTTATCATTTACACAAAAATTATGGAGACTGAACCACAAGCTTTGCTAGCTTTGTTGTTATTCTTAGCAGCCACTGTTAAATTCTGTATTTTATAATTCTGCAGCTGCTACATGTGCACGAGACGAGCTACGACTAGAGCAAACGGTAACAAATCTCATTTGAAGCCGCATAAGCGATGTTCTTGCTTTTCCTCTCCATCATGCTTGTTGTTGTGCCTGCCAGTGACTATCAAACAACTTCCTGTTTACACTTGTATGTGCATGTCCAGTGTGCATGAATGGTCATGTAACATGCATTTTCATTCGTGTAGAATGGACTCAGATCGTTTCTGAAACACAGTAGAAATGTCAGTGTGGATGAGGATCATTTTCATTTCATTCTAAAACGCACTAGTGTAAACAGGACATGAGGTTTGCTTCCACCAAAACCAGGTGCTGTGCAATGTGTGTGGAAGCTATGTGACCTCTGGGCTAAAACTTGTCATTATACTTGCTGTTTTGTCGCCACCAGGCATTTATTTTTTATTAAACAGCATCTGCTGCTCAATGAAAGGTAACAGGAAGAAGAAAACAAGAAGGAAACACTACAGCAAGGGTCAGGAAGTTACCGAAGAATGACTGTCAAGTGCCAGAAACAATCATTAACAATCTTGATAAGACATTCCTTGTATGTAAACACATTTAGGAGACAAGTATAAATATTCAGAGTGTATTCTTGATGTTAAATATTAATAGCAAATTATATCATTAATGTCATGTTCCAGAGGTCACTGTGTGGAGGAGGTGAACTTAATGGATATCTGAGTGAGGTAGCCAGTGAGACCAGTACACTTCCAGTTTCAAGTTTGGTGATGTTGGGGAAAGGGTTGTTATTGTCAGTGGGGGAGACAGAAGGTCTTATTGATAAATAAAACTACACTTTGCTAGGATTAGAGCAACGCGACTGTAATGAGCTCACAAGATGGTTCTGATCAAGATGGTGGTTCTGTAGCACGTAGCAGCTACTTCAGGACCAGAAATATGGTGCATTGTTACATGTAGTCCAAACCACCACCAACGAGATCAGGACCAGGTTTTATCAAAAATTTTATTATGTTAAGTGTTTTCTTAGGATACACTGTACACACACACACACACACACGGACCACACACACACTCACAAGTGTTTTAAACTTCTGCTTTAATGCATATTTTTTCTCTGTGTGTAGTGGAAACTGGGGGGAACACTGCTGGAGTGTGGGGCAGCAACAGTGTCCGATGTAGTGACCCTACAATCTACTCTTCTTCGTGTTGATTTTAGGGTGGTGTGCGGAACTGGAAGATCTATGGCTAGGCAGTATTCTAATATGTATCATCTCCCCCAACCAGATGTATGTTTTTTTTTGTTTAAACGTGAGAATTGCATTTCTGTTTGTAAAAGTATTGGTTGTTTGGGCATCGTCTGCTTTTTATGTTTTGTTTGTATTTCTTTAGTGCTTGAGTTATGTCCTGCGTGGTGCATTTGGACCAGCAGCACTTTTCTGCAGTGGCTTAGATTGGGCCTGAGTAGGCCTGAATGCACCTTCTAAGGTGTAGTCTTCTAGTGTGTATGATCTCATGCTTTTTTCTAATCATTAATGTTCAGTTGTGTGTTTTGTATGTTTTTTTCTTTCAGGAGCTGAAGCTGTATGCAGAAATTTCCCTCCCCCTCTGTGTGCAGGTGGTGGATCTCCATGTGCTGGGGCGACTGTGACTCAGGTGGTAGGGCGGGTTGTCCGCTAATTGTACGGTTGGTGGTTCGATTCCCGACCCACATGACTCCACATACCAAAGTGTCCTTGGGCAAGACACTGAACCTCAAGTTGCTTCTGATGGCAAGTTAGCACCTTGCATGGCAGCACTACTACCATTGGTGTGTGTGTGTGTGTGTGAATGGGTAAATGAGACACAGTGTAAAGCGCTTTGGATAAAAGCACTACATAAGTGTGCTATTTATGTGCTGTGTTAGACTCTCTATTTCAAGTGTGTGTGCAGGATGAACACTCAGTGGGTGAGTACATGTGTGATTGAAAGTGTTACTTTCTCCACCCTTTTTAATTGTTGTGTGTTTGTGTCTGTGTGTGTGGGGCAGGGAGGTATTTTTTTGTCTCTTTCTTGTTAATTATTTAAGACTTGACATAATTACTGCATATTTGGGGCATCAGTTTGACGGTTTTAGGCTACAGCCTTTTGTTAAGGTGGTTCCATGATTGGGACTCCAAAGATTTTAATCTTGTAAAATGATATTGATCTTAATAAAGTGTGTTTTCTTTTGTGTTGGACGCATGTCTCATGTCTCTCTTCCATTGTACAACAAACCTTTAGACCTTTAGGTGAAGACAGTCTGAGAAAGAAAAACATCCATCAATCTTCTACTGCTGCTTACTTCTTTTCAGGGTCATGGGGAACCTGGAGCCTATCCCAGGGAGCATCAGGTATAAGGCGGGGTACACCCTGGACAGGGTGCCAGTCCATCGCAGGGCACAATCACATACACACTCACACACCCATTCATACACTACGGACACTTTAGACACACCAATCAGCCTACCATGCATGTCTTTGGACTGGGGAGGAAACCCCCGCAGCACAGGGAGAACATGCAAACTCTGCACAGAGATGGCCCCAGTGGGAATTGAACCCGGGACAATGGAGGTGTGAGGCGAACATGCTAACCACTTATCCACCATGCGCCCCAGAAAGAAAAACTATTATTTTTAAAAAATTATGAATTAAATTATTTGTTTCATTTATAAATTTAGTCATTAGTGTGACCTCACCACACTACCAACATGATAGTTCATGCTCACAATCTGCTAATTCATACTAGCAACATGCTAATTCATGAAAGTAACATGCCCATTCATCCTAGCAATAGCTAGTCCATTCTAGCAGTGTACTAAAATGTGATAGCAACATGCTGGAACATGCTAGCAAAACATGCTCTCATGTTAGCAGTGTCTTAAAACATGCTAATTCATCTTAGCAAATGCTATTTGATGCCTCCAACATGTTAATTCAGGTGAGAAACATGATAGAACATGCTAGCCATATATGTTTATTCATCCTAGCAGTGTCTTTCTTACTTTCTCTTTCCAAATCAATAAATTAAAAGCTATTCAAATTTCAAACTTTCAGACAGCTTTCTCGGGTCAACATCAAACTTTGTTGTGACGAACTTCACCTATCTAGATTAATTTTCATTTTACATGATTTACAGTGTGACTCATTTTATTACACAATGTGGGACACAATTTGTTAATTAGTTGTGTGTGATATGTCTAATACGCCTCCCTAGATTCTCAAACATGTGGATGATGTAGTGTGGAAAATGTGTGTGAAGATGTGTGAACTTTTCTTTGAAGTTCTGAAGAAAAATTTTAGAAACAAAGAGGAAAACTGCGTTGTACATTCAGTTTAGATTTTATTAAATTAAATGCATTTTTAAATTTCCCCCTGATTTTCACCCAAATTTATTCATGGCCAGTTCCCGACCTCCAGTTAGGTCTCCCCTGTCACACGACAGCTACCAACTAAGAAGGAATGGTAGATTTCGTGAAGAAAATGTGAGTGGTGCTTGCCGTGGCAAAATTCAGATTGGGCGCCAATACTTTCGATAGCAGCCCATGTAGGGTGCCAATAATTTTACGGTCAAGGGCGAAGGCTATCACATGCTTCCTGTGAGACACCTGAAGCCAGATAACTGCATCTTTTATAACTTCTGACCATTAGGGGGCAGCATAACACACTCACCGATGCCCATGATTGGGTGGTGTTGCTGTGATTGACAGGGGAGAGAGAGTATGTCCCTCCCTTCCTGAGAGCACAGCCAATTTTGCTCTCTTCGACGTCAGGCCAGGGATGTCTGTGGCATGGTCAGGATTAGACCCCAAGACAATAGGGAGAACGATTTTGTACTGCGCCTCTCAGGAGCCCTTAAATGCAGCTGTAAGTACGGTTGGTAAATACCTCCACATTACAGTTAGACCAAAATCATTCCAATATACGGACAATATAAGCAATTAGCTCTAGTTAAATCTAACACACTGTTTTCTCCTTAAATCAGTATTTCTTCCATTTGTATCTGAATTTCTAATTTTATTTTAATTTGAAAACAATCAGGATTATTGGAAAGATAAGAAGCATGAAGGCAAGAACTCCAACTCTACAAATGGAGAGCCAGACCAGCACTTGCAGCCGATGAGTACAACTGGAACCTGTATGGAAAAATTAAATTGTTTAAAAAAATAATAAACATCAGGAGCTGAAATATATAATGGAGTAACACTGAAAACAACTTTAAATATTGGATGATTTATTAACAGGAAAAGGTTTTAACTACAGAAAATTCTGTTATAGAAAGTGAAAAAAAGCTTATTTGATCAATACTCTTACTGCAGTTTGAACCCTGGAGTGTACCAGAATCTGTGTTGTTGTTAACCGTTCCAGGTGTAGGAGAGTGTTTCATCTCTTCACCTTTACAAATACATTGGAAAAGCAGCAAATAAACAGAAATGATACTAAATATGAATAATGTGAAATATTCAACATTTAATGCATATGTACACATAATTCTGGTTAAAGTGTTGATCTGGAATTAGCAGGTTATCAGAGTAAAACTGTTTACCTTCAAACTGCAGACGTGTTCCAGATGTGAACTTTATTTTAGTTCCCTCCACTTCTCCACAGAAATATTCTCCTCCATCATCTTCTCTCGTTCCGATAATGTTGAGATCAAACTTCTGGTCATTTACAGTCATACTGAAGCGGCTATCTTTAAATTCATCATCAAATATGTAGCCACTATTAGAGCTGTAATATCTTACAAAATACTGAGGAACTTTTCCAAAACTCTGTCTGTACCAAGCTAAATTATTTTTGTTTGTGACCTTGCTCATGTTACACTCCATAGTTACATCTTCTCCACGCTTTACTGTTTTCACATGAAGCTCCTTGATGTCAGAAGTTTTTACTGTAAAAAAGTGTTTAATATTTAATGTTTAATGTCAGTAAATGATTTAAATATGAAATTTTACTATTTTAAATGAAAGATTTCAAAATGTTACTCACCAGCTGTGCAGAGAGAAAAAAGAGAGTAAAGCGCGACAAAGAGTGTGATCATCGTTCCTGTTTAGACAAAGTGATAGTGAGGTAATGAACTTGTGAGTTCAGTAGAAAACCAGGTCCAGACTCGCGCCTGATTGGATGTTTTGAAGCTGTGGACTGATTTGATTGGTCCATTAGCTGTAATGAGATGTGAAGCTCACAGTGAATTCTTGTCTATTCTGATGCTGTGATGAGTCACATGACTTTACAGATATGATATACTGGAGCTCTATCAGTCCTGTGTGCTGGAACCTCTCTGATAGAAGAAGTTTAATGAAGTGCTTTTAGGTCAGCAGATCTAACAACCCCAAAGAGGAATAATGTGTAATCCCGCTGTGGGGGAGGGGGATGCAGTACAGTTTCAGTATGGTCCTTTCACAATCATTTGTCTAAGGTAGAACCTGGAGTGAGCGTATATACGGGGTTTTACGGAACCATCAGACACTTGGGGGGAAAAGCTCATCTGTATTATTTAAGATGTAGACACTAGAAAGGTTTTCATGCAAATGAAACATCTATACATCATGGTGTGTTCCTGGGGGTCACTGTGTGGAGGAGGTGAACTTACTGGATATCTGAGTGAGGTAGCCAGTGAGACCAGTACACTTCCAGTTTCAAGTTTGGTGATGTTGGGGAAAGGGTTGTTATTGTCAGTGGAGGAGACAGAAGGCCTTATTGATAAATAAAACCACACTTTGCTAGGACTGGAGCAACGTTACTGTAATGAGCTCACCCTTGTGCTGCGAGTGTTTGTACTGAGAACATTGAAAAATACACACGTCTCATGTCGGCCTCCGTGGATAAAATCTTCTTACACCAGAACAGCTCCTCGTTTTCCTCCATGATGACATGCTGCTTGAGTGCTGGAACCAAATGAAACTAATAAAAACAATAAAAGGATGAACCTCCAGCAGAGCTGCATACGCATAAGTGAGGTATGGAATTGCAGAAGTGATCCATGGCTCAGAATTAATTCCTCTGTGTGACAGCAAACCTGTGATTATAAGCCCCGCCCACAAACAAGCCTAGAAGCAGTCATGAGAGTGGACTCGAGTGTTCAGTCCAAGTGTGAGAACGCTCTTAACACATTTGTAGAAGTGTTACTGGCTGCAGCAGCGCTCTCTCACATCATGCAGTTGTTTCAGTTGAACAGAAATAGCATTGTGGTTTCTGAGTTTCTGAGACTGAGTGTTTTAATCAGCAGCTTACACTGACTTCTTTTGGGTCACTTCAACAGTCCAAATGTCTTCATATTAGAATCTCAGGCTAAAACACAAAAGAGCTGGAGTTCATTCATAAAAATGTCTCTAAAAATATCATGTAGAATGTCGAGAGCACTATTTATTCAAACTGTGCTAGAGACTGTGTTCTATCTGTGTGAGGCCTGTTATCCACCCTAAAGGACATAACAACAGAGAAAGAACTGGGATTAATTCAAGTATAATCTCACACCTTTGGGTAGATTTGAATCATGTAATGATTAACCTGTATAAAACATGTTCAAAATTATTTATTCAGAACGTTTAGACAAAGTGCTGCTGCAGTCTATGAGTCCGGCAGTTTCAGAACCTTTGATGTGGTAAAAACCTTAATGGCCTCACGCTGGTGTTTGGTTTGAGACGTTTGTCCTCTAGTTTCCATCTCACACCAGAGAGTGTGTGTCAGTGTTAATGGAAACAGCACTGTGGTTTAAAGTGAGAGATATAAACTAAAGAGTTTGATTCTTTCTTTATCAGGGCTGTAAGAGATGTTAGACTTTTATAAATCCAGTGGTTCTGATCAAGATGGTGGTTCTGTAGCACGCAGTAGCTACTTCAGGACCAGAAATATGGTGCATTGTTATGTGTAGTCCAAACCACCACCAACGAGATCAGGACCAGGTTTTATCAAATGTTTTATTATGTTTATATTAAGGTATATTTTGTGTTTTCTTAGGATACACTGTACAAACACACACATACACACACACAAGTGTTTTAAACTTCTGCTTTAATGCGTATTTGTGTCTTTGTGTTTATGTGAACATAAACATTAGAATATATGAATATTATATTGCATAAAAATTATAATAAATAACAAAAATAAATAATAAATCTGCTGGCTGCAGCAGCGCTCTGTCACATCACATGGTTTCAGTTTAACAGAAATAGCATTGTGGCTTGACAAAGTCTCTTCATAGATGTAGCAGCACATCCCTTCAGTGTTCACACTTAAAACAAACACACACATGTAGGCACTCCCTTGTTTGCATGAAAGACATTTGGCCTCTTGTTACCACCAACTCATTCTCAGGAACTTAACATACAGTTCCTTAGGGTGAGTTAATTAGTTACTCAGGGGTCCATCCTGCCATAAAACACACTGTTTCATTCCCATTTCACAATCACACCCCCGCAGAATGGGGACAACACACAAACTCCGCACACACAGGGCCACGGTGGGAATCAAACCCCGGAGGTGTGAGGCGAACATGCTAACCACTAAGCCACCCTATAAGACATAACAATAGAGAAAGACCTGGGATTAATTAAAGTATAATCTCACAACTTTGGGACAATTTGAATCATGTAATGATTAACCTGTATAAAAC